CCCTAAACCCTAAACCCCTTCGTGGGGGGTTACGGGTTTCGGGCTTGGCATGAGTGGAACCGAGCTGCACCCTGGGAGCCGGGACGGCCGAAATAAGCACTAGTCGTATCCCCCTTAGAGTCCCCCTGTATGAAGATAATATATGATCATGGGCTCAGGGAGCCTTGCCCGAGCTTTTATGATCCCCTTTTTTTTGGAAGTAGGGCCTGGTTCATCTAGTTTGTTGTCTGCCTCTGAGGCCTAGGGTGCTCTTTAGGGTGCTGGATGAAGGAAGGAACACTGGGCTGCCCGCACGCTCCCCGAAATCCTCTCATCTAACGGTGTCAGCCCAGGTACACTATCGACATCGCCATCATACGCAAGCCTGGGAAAGGTGGGGCACTCGGTGGGTGAGGAATTGATGGCACGCTGTCGAATTTACCCCAACGCCCACAAAACTCAAAGCTTCTTTCTCCAAGCAAGCGGGCGGAAGGCGTGATGGTCATCACGAGCGGGACGCATGGTGTCGAGGGATTCCCGGCCGCCCAATGCTTGTTGTCTTTTCCGTTTTGGGTCTCCAGGGTTTCGGTTTTTTTTGGCATGGCCTCGCACGCCGCGTGACCCTCCAGTTAGCTCCAAAAGGGCCACTGTAAAGACTGCTTCCTAACAGTGCTTGCCCTTGGTAATCACTCGACATGGTCATGCTGTAATGTGCTCCAGCACCCTGTGTGAATTCTCACTGCCCCTGTATTCGGCTCTGAGATCTTAAGTTACGGCTTTGAGGGTCTGGGCTGGCCTTTGAAGCCTCGTGCGGCTTTTGATACTGTCGTACCTCTCACCTGCGACCGCTCCTATGATACGGGCAATGCGGTTGTAATTATGACGTGTGACTTGAAAACTAGAATGATCGTGCCGATGATGATCGTGATGGTGACGATAATGCTGATGTTGTTTGTGGTCGTTATTGGGCATGCTCCCAATGCGAAGTTCGCTGAGGGTGTCGAGAGACTTACTAAGTCTTCAACTCTGAACTCTGGGTTCGTGCCAAGGAGTATAGGGTTTAGGGTTTAGGGTTCCTAAACCCTAAACCCTAAACCCATCAACTCAAGTTGCCGAAATAAGGGTATTGTAACCAAGGTCTCAATGTGGTGTCCGTAGTGTTTCTTATCTTCAAGTCCGAAGGAAGAAGCCGGGGACTAAAGCGAATAGTACGACCCAACACGAACCCCTAAGGCCCCAAATAGACAAAAGCTTTAAACCCCGAGCCCCAAAGCCCTTGAGCCTTAGAGCCCGCCCTCTACCCGAAGCCTGAATTCATAGAGAGCCCACGACACAAGATTTTGGCGCCCTCCGATATTTGGAGCATACTATAAAATATCATACTATAAAATCGGAAAAAGCGACGCAAGTATCTTCAGTGTCCCTGTTGGCTCAGAAACCCTGAGCCCAGGCTATGCGGGCAGCGGTATCCAGCTTGGCCTCCTCAGGCACTGGCAGGACTCCGACGCCGAAGCATTGGCTTCTTTTGTGGGATTTCGGGGGTAAGGTACCATAGTAAGGAACCCATACTGTTTTGGTGTTTAATGCATCCCTCATCCTGACAACTTAAATTCAGATCAAGATCTCAGTGCAAGCGACCTACTCCTCGGAGTGAGTTTGGGGGTGTAGAGTTTAGGGTTTAGGGGTTTAGGGTTTAAGGCTTGGGCTTGGGGTGTAGAGGGTTGCCAGAAAAGAAAGGGTCCACAGCCCAATGCCTGACGTCAGATCATTCTCTTCCAGGGCAAACTCCACAGCCCAGAGCACGATTCCGAAACTTGAAACCTAAAACCCTAAACCTGAAAATGCTCAATGCGGCACCCTCAACCCTAGAAACCCCCGGAACGTCCCATACCCCACCCTAAACCCTAAGCCGCAAATGTCAAGGTCAGACCCCCTTACTCGAAGCGACATGAGGAGCTGTCCATCGGCGTTACAGCGGTGTTCGTCCATGCTGTGTGACTCTTCCACTATGATCTCTTTTTGCTTGTTCTATTCTCGGTTTGGGTTAGGGCCTCGGCATTCGTAAGTTGATTCGAAAAATCCCGAATTCGGTTGTCTGCGTTGTTAAGACGTCTGGGTATGCACTGCCGAGGTCCTGAGGATCTCCAGTATGGAGGCCTAAATGGCATAAAAAGAATCAGACTGGAGTGTTGGGTGGTTTTGTGCGAGAGGTATGAAGGTGAAACCAACGTGTTTCTTTCTTCTTGACCTCAGGAATCCGTACGGCATGGCGCATTTCCGTCGCTGCAACGAGAAAAATGTGGACCTGAACCGCAACTGTCTCTTACCGCAGGAGTTTGAGAGATTGCAAACCGAAGACAAACTGGCGACAATCTACAGCAGTTCCTGGGCTCTTGTTCAGGATTTTGATTTGAGATGCCCAAAGACGGACATTGACCGTCTATCCCTTATGTGGTCACTGAAATTAGGCTTCTCGACAAGAACTGAGGTTTCGATCCTCTGTTTAATCCAACGGTGACACCGAGTTGGTTCTACCGGAATGTGGCCATTTGGCCACACATGGCTTCCTACGTTGCTGCCTATGGCTTTGGATACATCAAGACCGCGCTAGTCGGTGGCACATACACCCAGGAGCAAGGGATGTTCTTCGGCGGCCGAGAGTTGCAGAAATCGCACGTTCTGCTGCGAGACTTCTTCAGGGAGCATTTCGGCAAGGTGCCGGCAAAGGAGATTGCATGGGTCGACGTGCATACTGGACTTGGCGCAGAAGGCAGAGCTTCGTAGCTTAGAGATCGGGGGTCGTTCTCGACGCAAGGGCTTGGTCTGTGCATGCTCCAGTTCAGCCCTGAGCCCAACACCCTAAACCCTAAAGTCCTAAAGCTTGGCATCAGGCGTGGATGTGCTTCTGGGCAATTTCGAAGATCGACAGCTCATGGATGCACCCGGGCTGACATTCCTAAACCGTCCGACCCTGTGACGCTCTGGTCTCCGATCGGGCGTGGGATGATGAGAGCTGACGGGGGTTAGTGGGGTCAGCAACAGCCATGAAGTGGGTTAAAGATTTTCCGGAATCAAAGAAAATCTCACCCTGGTCCAGAGGCTCTAAGATTTCCGAGTATGCATTGTGAAATTGCCAAACACAGTCACTGATGCTGTCCGGATCAAAACGTCGAAGCTTCGAAAACTGCACTATCAACGCCACGCGGCGAACTTCGACAGAAGACATGCTGAACGAATGTGCTGCTATGTGCTAGTGTGCTTCCTGTTGGCACGAAAGGAAGCGTCACAATGTACTTAAGGTACAGATGATGACCCGATAATCCTCTAACCCTACAGCCTCTGACCCTGAATCCCTGCAACCCCACACCACTATATGTAACCCTGTGGCCCTTTTACCCTGTTTCCCTGTGGGTCCGTAGCCTGAAATCCTCATGGCCTTATTCGAGCACAGGGTCCGGGAGCACTCTGGGTTTTCGGGTTTAAGATTAGTAGGGTGTCAGGATTTTAGCGCGTGTTTCGGTGTTGGGGTTTAGCAATGTCTTGTTTGGGTGTTGGGGTTCAAGTTTAGGGCTTAGGGGTTTAAGGTGTA